GATGCTACTAAATCCTAAACACTGAGCCTTTACTGACATTCCACCTCCATCTGTTGCCAATAATGACTAATTGGTAGAAATCTTTCATAGATCTCAAATAATTGCCAGCAAATTTCTTTTTCTTTGTATCCTATGTCTCCATGAATTGATGCTGGTTTCAAGAGTATGGTCTTGTTTTTGTTGACCATAACCTACAGGTGATAAAACTGGTTAAGCAGATGGAGAGGCTGACACTGCAGAGATGAGTTCTGTATATGAACACAAATGCATACCAAACACTATCCCACTAACATGTCCCTTTTCAAGCAATCTCCTCCCATTGAGGGCTGGGGTTTTGCCACATGAACTCATTGCAATAGGCTGTGTTAATGAAGAGGAAGATTGAAAGGTTGACCCTGCACACTCTCAGCTCTTCCTCGCACACTTCACATGACAGGCTGCACACGTTAGTCATCCATGCACAGTCCGCTTGAGATATACCAACAGCAAGATTCACACACACACACACATATTCCTGACATGTAAACCACTGTAAAATACATCTAATATAGGCAGAATAAATCTCCATAAAGTGTTTGATTAGAATCTGTTGTGCATGTCAGTGTTGTCTACTGCTGGTAGCATCCTGCAGAAACCACATCAACACCTGGGCAAAGACAGAGAGGCAAGCCTGAGCTGACACTAATCCAGTAATTGCCATGTGCCCATGCCGCTTATCAAAATAATTGACAGTATTTTCTAAAGTGAGATGGGAGTGTTTATCCCGGTGCTACCCAGATTTTTCTGTTCCCAACAGTTCTAGATCAATAATGAGATGGCTGGCTTTGTTGTGGTTTGTTCCTCCCTGCAATGTGGTTCTGGGTAAACCCATCTTTACTCTATTTCACCTAAATAGTTTAACATACTGTAGGCTTATTTCATATTGGCCCAAAGGGAATAAAAAAAAGATAAACTTGAAGGTGTTAACCGTGTTATTACACAGTCATTTCAAAAACGTGCTTAGAATCATCTGTCCCATTAGAGGTTTGGTTATGCTGTGACATTTGTAGCCTGTTATTATTGCATTTGAAACTACATTGTACATGGCTTTCAGTTTAGGATGGCCTTGGAGGAGATTGCAGATTGGTTATTGTGTCCTTGAAGCACTGACAATTGAATGTGTCCTTGCTGGTAATGTTTGGTTGGGGAGTGGAAAAGTTGTTTTTTTTTATCTCTCTTTATATCTACCAATTTTCAACCTTTTAAAAACAAATCATATTATATAATATAATATTACATAATATCAGGCTAAATCACCTGTTCAGATTTTACAGTGTAACCTAGTGTGAGGCGTCTCCAAAGGCCTCTATACCACCCCAGAGCCAGGCGGCTGATTGACAGGACTTGGCAGGCTGTGGACCCTCCTTCCCAGCGTCTCCTTCTCTCTCTCCCTCTCTCTCCCTCTCTCTCTCTCCTCTCCTGTCCTCTCCCCTGCTCTCTCTCTCCTCAATCGCAGGGCTGCGCTCACCGACTCGACACCGCCAACAGGGATGCAGCGAGGGCGCAGCGCAGCCTGAAAATGGCACCACCACGCGTCCTGTGGATCTATCCATCCCTTTTCCTCCTGTCCTCCCTGCTTCTTTTTCACGCACTGTCGCCGTGTCGAGCCTTACGGAATTACCCGGAGAATGAAGGTGGGTTGTGTGAAACCTTGATAGTGGAGTGTGAGGTAGATGCCTTGGGTTTTGCGCTGCGTTGGCCGATGGGGAGCCCCATCCCGCGGTTCCACTCGCCGGGGAAGGAGCGGAGCGGAGCGGCGGAGACTCCTCCGTTAAGTGCTCGGCTCCCGTTATGAATCATGCATAAAGAAAACCGGAGAGAGGGGGAGCGAGAGAGGGAGAGAGTGAGGGGGCAAAAACTGTTCGTCACGTTTTTCTTTTTCCGGGCATATTGACATTAAATTTGTATGACATATACACACAGGCAACCCTGCCATGCTGAAGATAGATAAAGCTGATGTGGACATTTTAACTTTTTTGACATCTGGAAAGCTTCCTCACGTTTTATTAATCTGTGCAACTATTTTTATTGCATTAAAGTAGTCTAATTTATACAGATTACGCTCAAACATTGACATATCTGTCATAATCCCTCTTAATTATAGATATCTTTATTATAACACACTGATAAATGTTTTTCTTTTATCCCACTGCCTCAGTCTGCAAATGAGGAGCAGCAATTACATTAAATTTGTCACACGCTGCTGCTGAGCCTCTCTCAGTTATTGTATTAACATCGATGCTCGGCCTGAAATTAGCCAATGCATTTACTTACTAACTACTGCTGACTGCTTGGTGGGCTGAAACATGGGAGCTGCTGGCTTGTTTAATGGGAGGATGAAGTTGCACTAAAACAGTGTGCACAAGTTATATTCACAACTACTCATTTATTATAAAGCAGATTGGAGGTTATGTGAGCTAAAAATGGAAGTGTCTGTGCTGTTGTTTTCACCAGCTGGCTGTCAGACAATTTGACTGGAGATGATACAGCTGTGACTTGACTGTCATTCTGTGAATCATTCCATTCAGTATTCCCCATAGCTCCAGTCAGTCCTGTTCTGTAGCTCGACAAAGCTCTACAGTCCTGCTGTGAGCTGCATGATTTGCCTTTCACTGACTTTCTGTCTTTTCTCACTCACTCACTCACTCACTCACACACTCACACAGACCGAAACTCCATACTTATGTGGGATAGATCAAACAGTCAAATGAATCACATGCACACAGTGACAGGCCACAGCAAGATTTTGATGGGCTCTCCTGTCCCTGGCTGACTTAACAGTATAGGGTGTGGGTACATACATTGAACCGAATGTATGTCACAGCCCAGAGGAGTTCACGCAGAACAAAGGCTCCTGAGGATAGACAGGGAGCGAGAGAGCGGAGGAGATTTTTAACAGCAGGAGACAATGCATGTCAGGGAGACACTAACACACTGTTGAAATATTCATTGAAATGAGCATGAATGATGAAACCAACTGGAAGTCAAAGGAAACTCCTGTTGATTTAGATAAACGCACAGCAGGGGCATCTGTGAGCTGCTCTACGTGTGTGTGTGTTTGTGTATTTGTGGATCATGTTCAGCTTGAGAATTTTGGAGGTGACTGACAGGTCAGAGGGGTTTTTCATTACTAATACACACTTTTCAAATAATCTGCCAGGCATTGAGTGTGGGACTCACTTTGGTTATTTCTCTGTCCTGCTGTGTCAGACTATTGGCCTAATTGGGACCTTTAAGCCAATTGCCCAACTCATGTGCGTGTGTGCATAGAGGGTGTGTGCTCATGCCCTGATGGGACAGTAATTCAATGAAGCATCAATTTTTGTCAGCCACTCCATGTTCTGCGTTTACTTTTGGCCTGCCAGTTTTCCTGCTGTGAATGCACGCTTAGCTGAGTGATTGCTCTTTGTGCCAGTGTGTGTCTTTGTGTCTGTGTCTGTGTGTGTTTGTATGCCTTTTTTGTTTGTCTATGAGTGCGCATATTCTCCACCCACGCATCTCGGTAGTTGTGTTATTCCAGGAAATCCTCCCTCTGAGTATATCTAGTAGCAGAAGCGAGGCTGTCATAAAAGGAGAGATACAGCTCTCAAGGCTCAATTAAGAACACAGTCGCTTTGATAGGGCCGATAGTGTTAGAAGGGAAATAGTGTTAAGCTGTCAACGAGCTTAGTTTAGTACTAGAGCTATTGATCGGCTCCAAAATTGTTGGCATTTACAAAAAATGCAGTTTGTGAAGTTAGACTTTCGGGGAGAATTGATAGAATGTCTTAAAAGTGCTGCTAACTGCAGACTGGGGAACATGAGACTATGTGGAAATGGGTTCATTCATAAGTTGTTGTGATGGAGAGCATCCTCTTTAAAGGTCTTTGTTATCAACAGTACAAGTAGGAAGAGGATTGGAGGAGTTTTTGTGCACCAGCAGAGGGAGCCCAACATACCGTCTGTCTGAACCCTGAGGGCATCCTGATGTAACAGCAGGGTGGATGCTCACAGGTCTCCCATAGTTCCCTTTTTGTCCTGCTGTTCTCACCCCTTCTTTACTCTTTTACTGTATCCCTTCAAACGCAGGGGCATGATGTGTCATCTATCTTTTTGTTGTTCCTTTTTTTTCTACCCATGCATGGTTTTTTGCGTCCTCCTTTTGCAAATTCCTGGTGGGGAAGAGGAACAGACTATCGCTCCTTTCTATTTTTGTGTCTTCTCCCCCTGACTCTAAATTTACCTCCTCAACCCTAGAAAAACACATGGTGGAAGCATGGTGGGAGCCCCCGTGCTACCTTGCACTGCAAGTGTATGTTGATTAGAGTATACGAATAGAGGTAAATTAATTATTTAACTCCAAATTCTGCCTATAAATTGTGTGCATGGATATATGATTGAATTAATAATCAAGAGTGGGCTGAGAGGGCGAGGAAAAACAAGAAAACATGGGAAAAACATGACTCATCTGTGGTTTATGTAGTCTTGAGGTGTACTTTAATTTGTAATTGGTCTTGGAACTACAGTACATTTTGAAGCTTTTCATTATTGGCCTGAGGGTACTGGGGGGAATTGCTGTATTGCTTTGTAAGGTTAACATGAGGGCGAGCAGTTAGTGCAGAGGCAAGCATATGTAAAGCATGCCCTCTTCTTACACACACTTCTTATGATTCACACAAGATCCTGACTGTGGTATAATGTTGGGTCAAAGGTCCCCTCTGGTTTAATTGCTTTAATCCATAATGGTTGCTTGTAGTTATCGGCAGGGCCATACCTCATTAAGTGCGTCTGTGTGTGTATGTGTGAGTCAGAGAGATTGCTCCCATGTAACAACCATGACCTTGGACAGAAAAGGATATAGATCTCTGCTCTCATCATCAGAGAGCACCCTCCTGTTTTTCTTTTTTACCTCCTCCACTCCGATCTATCTCTAATCCCCTTCTCTCATATCTGCCCTTCTCTATTTTCTATCAGCCTCCCTACTGGCCTCCATCTTATTTCTCCTCAGTTTTTTTCCCCCTTTTGTCTTCTTCTCCTCTTTCCTTTCTCTACTTCTTTCTCTGACCTCCAGTAGCAGTGTAACAGTTGGACAGGAGCCGCGAGCCATTGTATGGTTTCTGTAATGAGCTGGACCTTCTATATCTGCTTAACACAGGCCCACACACACACACACACACACAAGCACACACACACACACACACACAGATGTATGTGCACATGCATGCACACACCCACATACACTCATCCTATCGTAATGTATGGCTAGGGGGCAGTTTGGTGGTCTTGGTCCAGAGAATAGTGTCATGTATTCCCGGGGCTGGCTGATAGATGGGGTTATAAATACAGCTCAGTGACAGAGAATGATTCTGCTGTGAGGGCTTCACCTCATGGATCCATTGTGTGTGTGGAGGAGAAAGAGAGAGAGAGAGGGAAAGAGAGAGAGAGAAAGGGGGGTGGGCAGAGGAAGAGAGACGGAAATTATTTAAAAAAAAGACAAATCCACAAGAGGGAATCTGCGAGACAAAACAAAAGTGATAAGAACATAAAAAGAACAAAGAAAGAGATGTAGATTTACACACGCTGAATAACCCATCCATTTCTCCATGGTCTATTGAGCAGAGCACCCATAGCAGCATTCAGAGAGCCTTTGTGTTATATTTGACGGTTGTCAGGGGGTACACTGAAGATGAAGCCAGAGCCAGTGGCTAGATAGCTAGCAAGTTAACTGGAAGGATTGGAAACAGAGGAAACAACTGGCAGGCTCTCTCCAAGGATAAAAAAAAATCCCACTACCAGCACCTTTAAAGATCCCTAATCAACACGTTATATCTAGTTTGTCAAATTTTTGCATATACTGAAGTCTAAAAATGACCTCTTGTGGTCTGACCAAGACCAAGAAGTAGTCCGTCACAAGCACAAATACTCACTCAAACAAGTTATTTAATTTTACAATACAAGCAGGGTTGTATAATGAAATTCAGATTGTAGTTCCCTTTATACTACTTGTAAAACAAACAAAAAATAAATATTAAAAAATTATTTACAGTCAAATCCATTAATAAGTCATAAAATATCTGTATACTATTTTGAATGATGAAGTAGTGATGATGAATTTAGTAGTCTCACAGCCTGAGGAAAGAAGCTATCCTCTAAGGGCTGTAGCTTCATGTTTACTGGTGTGAAAGTGATACTGATGTTGTCATCAAACTCTTGGGAAGAGAGCAAACAAACATATTTCTCAAAATGTCAAATTATTTCTGTAAAGTCTAAAAAGTCTCCTAACTATTAATGGGAATTCCTTCTAACCCACACAAAATTTGGCAGAATCAAATGTGTGAGTAAAGCTGATCTGCACACTGTGCTGTTTTAAAACAGGATAGGAAAAGTAACTATACATTTATTTATTTATTTTTATGGTGTGCAAATGCAAACAAACCCTGAGCTAAATGACAGTACAGCTAGAAATTACAGATTTCTTTACTTGCTTTTTGGGAGTGCACTCATCAGTTAGAAAAATGCACAAGGATTTATACAAGTAGATACGCAAGACAACCACCATTAAGGTGAACATGTGCACATCTTAACCAGCTAGAACTGAACTTTTGAACAGTTTTTAAGCTTGAATGATTTCCGTTGTACGCAGAGATCATTAACG